ATTGAGAACGGCGTGCTGATGGTAACTGCAACAGGTGCTGATATCTGGTACCAGTAAAACTCTGCAATCCTGCCATCAGGGTCATAAGACAAACTGCCATCCAGTGTTACGCTGGTTACAGGCAATGTGATGGATGTATTGCTGCCCGCATTTGATACCGGTGATATATTTCCACCACCCGTTGCCACCGCTGTGGTGAAGCTGGTTCTGTTGGTACTACCGCAGGCAGTATTGGCCCCATTCGCATTTCTTGGTGCAACATACCAGCTGTACAGCGTATTGGCGGTAAGCGTGGTTGCATAGTAGGTCAATGCCGTGGTATTGGTGACCAGGACTGTTGGAACCCCACTACCGGTTGCCAGGTATACATCGTATGAAACAGCGCCTGCTGAAGCCGGCCAGCTGAGTCTTGCCGATGTCTGCGTGGGCAGCACTGATCCATTGACAGGTAACGAATTGGTTACACAGGCAGGAACCGATGCTGTGCTAAACGTAGTGGTATTGGATGCACCGCAACCCGTAGCCACACCCACCGCATTTCTTGGCGCAATATACCAGCTGTAAGTGGTTCCCGCGGTGAGGCTGCTGGATGTATACGTTAAGGCAGTGGTATTGGTCACCAGTGTTGTTGGTATACCGGTACCTGCTGCCAGGTATACATCATACGAAGTAGCATTGGCTGCTGCAGGCCATGTAAGCGTTACCGATGTCTGGCTTGCCAGCGTAGTGCCTGCTGCAGGTGATGTATTGATTACACAGGATGGCGCTGCTGTAGGCGCTGCTGTGGTAAACGTGGTTGTATTGGACGCTCCGCACGATGTAGCCGCACCGCCCGCATTCCTTGGCGCAATATACCAGCTGTAGGTGGTACCTGCGGTAAGGCTGCTGGATGTATACGTTAAGGCCGTGGTATTGGTCACCAGTGTTGTTGGCGTACCAGTGCCTGCTGCCAGGTATACATCATAAGAGGTAGCACCTGCTGCAGCCGGCCATGTAAGTGTTACAGATGTCTGGCTCGCCAGCGTAGTGCCTGCTGCAGGTGATGTATTGATAACACAGCCAGGCAATGCAACAGCCGTGGTAAACGTAGTGGTATTGGCAGCTGCGCAGGTGGTTGCTGCTCCAACGGCATTCCTTGGCGCTATATACCAGCTGTACAGGGTGTTTGCTGTCAGCCCGCTTGCACTGTAGCTCAATGAAGTGGTATTGCCTACCAATGTGGTGGGTGTACCAGCACCTGCTGCCAGGTATACATCGTACGATGTGGCACCTGCTGCAGCCGGCCATGTAAGCGTTGCTGTATTCTGTGTGCTGAGCGTAGCTCCTGCAACCGGTGTTGCATTGGTAACACAAGGTGGAACAGTAGCTAACTGGTTTACAGTAACGATTACCTGCGAATAAGCTGTTACACCATTATTGTCTTTTACCTGCAGGCCAATTGTATAGGTTCCTACATTGGTAAGGCCTGTAATAGTGGGTGTCATCGAGAACGGCGTGCTGATGGTAACTGCAACAGGTGCGATATCTGGTACCAGTAAAACTCTGCAATCCTGCCATCAGGGTCATAAGACAAACTGCCATCCAGTGTTACGCTGGTTACAGGCAATGTGATGGATGTATTGCTGCCCGCATTTGATACCGGTGATATATTTCCACCACCCGTTGCCACCGCTGTGGTGAAGCTGGTTCTGTTGGTACTACCGCAGGCAGTATTGGCCCCATTCGCATTTCTTGGTGCAACATACCAGCTGTACAGCGTATTGGCGGTAAGCGTGGTTGCATAGTAGGTCAATGCCGTGGTATTGGTGACCAGGACTGTTGGAACCCCACTACCGGTTGCCAGGTATACATCGTATGAAACAGCGCCTGCTGAAGCCGGCCAGCTGA